AGTGAAACTACTCTACGGCTCTCTGTTGCTCAGTCTCTGTCCAGACGTGGCGCCACGCCAGAGAGCTCCTATGGCCTTTAGCTGAAAGGCCGGTCACCTCTGAAGCCGAGGACGCTTGGCTTTGGGGGCTTGGCCATTTCTCTCTAGAGGGCTCTGGGGGAAGTCGGGACGCCGCTTCTGCCTGGTCAGCTCTCCTTCACTCACCAGACTGACTCTACTCATTTAATGGGGTGCTACGAATCACGCCTGAGCTGTGAAACCCCTTTGAAATGTCTCCTGCGCTCCCTGGAAAGCCAGAGAGCCTCATTTTTATGCCATTCTCAGAAGTACAGTTTTTGCTACTGCAATGGTAAATGATCAGAAGTCTGTTTACTTTCGGGCTCTCTTTGCTCTCTCTCTGCCATTCATGGGCAAGTTTCTACCCTTTTTTTCTACAACTTTTTGGCTTGTGCCTTGAAGAGTGCGACGCAGGCTGGGTCCCAGGGACCCCCCTCTAGGTTCCCTCTCAAAGGCTAGCCAATGTAGGCTTAATCTATTCAGGCTTTCTTTGCATTTTTTCAGAAATTCGCCATCTTGAATTCGCCATCTTGGCCACGTGGTGGGTTAAGGGTGGGTTAAGGGTTTGGCCCCATCTGACCCTTAACCTTCCACTAAGTTTACTACTCCATCTATTCTAAGGTGCCTTGCTAACAAGTTGATCTTTTCACAGGCCCTGGTAACGGAGGCCCAACCATCTGATATGCTTTGTTAGCAAAGATGTCTAAACGTTGTCGAAATTTTAGGTTTTAAGTTTTGCCTTTTTTGTTTTGTGTTGAGTATTCTACTACTGACTACGTGGTTCTAAAATACTGGGCATATCTGTGCTAAAATTCTCATCACATCTATTGAGTTTTGTCATTTCAGAATATTTGTTGGCAATTCTTGATAAGAACCAGGTAAGCTCTACTTATTCTACTTGATCTCCTTGTTGCCTTAATTGGAAATAATAAAGGGCTTTTGTGGCAAAGATTTCAGTTCAAAGCCAGCTCGGGCTAAAAAATCTCTAAGACTCCGTCTCCCAGCTGAACTCTGCAAGTGGTACTATAACTCAAAGTGGTTCAGTGCTAGCCTTGAGCAGAAGTGCTCAGGGACAGTGCCCAGGCCTTGAGTTCAAACCTCCTTTGACACTGGAAGTGCTATTGTAACTCAACATGGTAGAGCACTAGCCTTGAGCAGAAGTGCTCAGGGACCGTGCCCAGGCCTTGAGTTCAAATCTTGAATACCAACTGGGACTAGCCATCCCAGCAATGAGCACCTAGACTCAGCCAGTCTGGGGAACAAGGGAACATGGAGAAGAGTAAGAGGAGATAATGTCACATCAGCTACTTTGTGCCTGCCCTTTCAAAATTAACCAGAGCCGGGAGGTCAGTGGAAGTAAGAAACCTACCCAGCCAATGTCTATACCTGTCTACCTATTAACTGAACAGGAATTTATATTCTTGCCTTTGTCCCCTGACTTCTCTACCTAGTCGCCAGATGTCAGAAGTATCTAGGGACATTTCTACCAACATTTTCAGCCCCAAGTCCTTCCTCTTGCCATTTATTTGCTCTCTAGTATTTTTTTCCAGCCCCTCAATGCTCATGAGACTTCTCCATACTTCATCTAAGGACTCACACCAAGGGACAGCTGCTGCTCACTGCCTTCTCTGGGAGGAGACCAAATTCCAGCCTTTTACCCCTATTGTCGACGCCCCTTGTCAGCAGGAAGTAGCCAGAGAGAATCCGCGCCCTATTTCATGATTATTAAAAGGCTGGAATGTAAGGTCCGCCCCTGGATGGCGAGCAGACTCCACCCTCCTCGCAGCAAAGTCTCCACCCAGTACCTGCGTTACCTAGGCAACTGGGACACCTGGAAGAGGTCACATCTGCATCCCGAGGTCACATCTGAATTTGATGTGGCCACACCTTTCCCCGCCCATACCCTACATAAGGCCTAGCCCAGGCCCAGACTCTCTCTCTTTCTCTCTCTGTTCGTTTCTAGCTCTCTTGCTCTTGCTCTTCTTTTATAGCTCTGTCTGCTCTCTCTCTGCTCTAGCTCTTTCCTCTCTCTTTCCCAGCCACGTGGAGTGCCAACCTTGCCTGGTCCCCGCAGGTCTACTGAATAAACCTCCCCCTTACCTGAATACCACGTGCGTGCTGGTGCTGTTTTTACTCGGCTACCTCTTTTTAAAAACCTAACAGTTCTCACTTCTGTTCATGAGATTTTTTTTTTCTTTTTATTTTGTGGGTTGTGGGGCTTGAATTCAGGGCTTGGTCACTGGCTGTCCCCGAGCTTTTTCCACTCAAGTCTAATGCTCTATCACTTTGAGCCACAGTGCCACTTCTGGTTTTCTGGTGGTTAATTGGAGATAAGAATCTCATGGACAGGGGCTGGGAAGGTGGCTCAGCGGTAGAGTGCTTGCCTTGCATGCATGAGGCCCTGGGTTTGATTCTTCAGCACCACACACACAGAAAAGCCTGAAGTGGATGCTGTGGCTCAAGTGGTAGCGTGCTAGCCTGAGCTGAAGAGCTGAGGGGACAGCGCTCAGGCTGGGTTCAGGCTCCATGATGGACAAAATAAAAAAAAAAAAAAGAATCTCATGGACAGTCCTGTCCAAGCTGGCTTTGAAACATGATCCTCAGATCTCAGCCTCCTAAGTAACTAGGATTATAGGCGTTAGCCATCCAAGTAGATCCAACTAGATGTTTCTTTTCCTTTTTCTTTCTTTTTTTCTTTTTACTGGTATTAGGGCTTGAATTTAGGATCTTACAATGTTGCTTGTCTTTTTCTACTCAAAGCCGGCACTCTACCCCACACAATACTTCCTTCTTTTCTAAAAATGAACTTGTATTGTAGATATGTTTTTTAAAAAGGGGAGAGGTATCCGGGGGCCGGTGGCTCATACATGTAATCCTAGCTACTCAGGAGGCTGAGATCAGAGGATCGTGGTTCAAAGCCAGTCTCAGCAGGAAAGTCCATGAGACTCCTATTTCCAATGAAGCACCAAAACACCAGAAGTGGCACTGTGGCTCAAATGGTAGAGGGCTTGCCTTCAGCTGAAGAGCTCAGGGACAGCACCCAAGCCCAGAGTTCAAGTCCCATGACCGACCAACAAAACAAACAAAAACAAGGGGTGGGGGTTGGGAGTTGGAGAAAGAGTAAATGAATTGTAAAACAGGTTGGGCAAACTGATCAAAGACAGTGTAGTAGGAAGACCCCTACTCAGGAAGGCAAGCCCACCTATTCGTCGGGAGCAACAAAGTTGTAAACAAAGAAGCAACTTTATTGAGAATGTTCCTACACTGACTGGTCAGGGCTGCAGCACAGGCTCCTTGCAACCTCGAGCAGCCCCCATACTTTGGTTTTTTAAAGGCAAAATCCATGAGGTTGAGCCTGATCACACGCAGGTGACCAATGGGATCGTAACACAAAAGATTGTACAGTCATACCAGACCACACACAGGTGGCCAATGAGCTTACAGTTTGTCTGTAATCGCTGTTTAAACCAGCCTGTCACCTTGGTTTAAAAATGGCACTCAGGGGCTGGGAAGGTGGCTCAGTGGTAGGGCACTTGCCCTGCATGCATGAGGAACTGGGTTCGATTCCTCAGCACCACATAAGCAGGAAAAAAAAAAAAAAGAAGCCAGAAGTGGCACTGTGGCTCAAGTGGTAGAGTGCTAGCCTTGAGCTGAAGAGCTGAGGAACAGCACTCAGGCCCAAAGTTCAGGCCCCACAACCAGACCCCCCCCAAAAAATAAAAATAAAATGGCATGCAAATTTAGCGGTTAAGGTGGGGGGTCTACCTTTTGGTGGGCAAAAGGCCTTTACTGTAAGCACTTGCAAAAGGCTGGTGTTTACCGTAAGTACGTGGTGTCACCAGTTTGAGCCAGATTACAACCTAACCGTTTAGTCGGTCAGTCTTTAACTCAACAATCAAGCGTGGGTTAGGTTGTTAAGGGGAGGAGGACCAGGTGCATTTTTTTTTTTCATTCAGGGAACTGGGCCTAACGAGTCTAAAATCCCTAAAACAAAGGCAAAGCTCAAAATGGAATCAGACCAGCTTGGGCCCCATCTCAGGGTCCACTTCAACAGCTATAATTACATCATCATTAAGATACACTGTAGTTTGGGATCAACACTTCCTAGCAGTTTGATACTAAACATATGAGGCTAATAATAGCACTTATCCCATAAGGCAGGTTAAATGAGATCTGTGTAACCTGTTTGGTACAATACCTGGCATGCAATAAGTACTTGACAAATGGCAGCCAATATTACCAAAATCACTACTAGTAGTCATAAGAGATGTCGGGACATACCTAGCCCTCAAGATTGACATCAGAGTGGACCACGACATCATTGCACCTCCATTGGGGCACGTGAAGCCCACAGAGGGGGATGGCTCTGTTCAAAGATGACAATGTCCACGTCCCCGAAGCATCTGAAGGAAACGGACCCTCTTCATCCCTGAACCCATTCAGTCTGGTTAATCCATGAATGGCACTGCGGGGTCGGGACTGGGAAGGCTGCCACGACTTGGTCCTTGGGCCTCCGTCTCAATTTCCTTGGTTTCAACAGGGTGAGAAGCAGGAACGTTAGCCAAAAATCCAGCCTAGTCCGGTCCGGTCCGGCCCGGCCCGGCCGGCTCGGCCTCACCGCATCCCTGAGGGGACCAAGCCTCACCACCAGAGGGCTCCTCTGGCGACTGGCCACGCGCCACACCGGAAAAATGATTTGTGGTTAGACTTGAAAAGTCGGGCAAGAGGTTCAACCTCACCCTTCCAGTCTTCTGGCAAGGCACAGGGAGCCGGCCTCCACGCCCGAGGCTCGGGGAGGGTGGGAGGGGCGGCGGGCGGGAACGCGCTGAGGCTGTGGGATTGGAAGGAGGAAAGGGGCGGAGGCAGAAGCGACAGGGGCGGGGTCTCGGGGCTCAGGAGCGCGCACGCAAAGCGGAGTTGCGGAGGCACGTACGTAGGAGGGCGCGCACGTAAAAGCCCGGGCAACGCACGCGCGTGCCCGCGCGAAGGGAGGTTTCTTCGTTCCGCGGTGGGACAAACGAGGGAGGTGAGGCGCTGGGGCAAGCGGCGGGGTGGCTCAGGGCGGCCGGGCAGGAGCCACCAAGTGGCGGCACCGAGGGGAAGCAGGGACGCGAGATGAAGCGGTACGGGTAGCGCGGAGGGCTGCGGCGGCCGGCCACGCGGCGCTGTTGGAGGTGGAGGAGGAAGGCGCGGCCCGGGCCGACCCCCTAGGCCCCGCCCCGTTCCTGGGCGGCCCGCAGTGTCCCCGCCTCAGTCCTGCAGTCTCTGCAAGGAGCGCGTAGTTTGCTGGGTTCACAGCCTGCGTAGTTGCTGGGTTCACAGCCTATGAGTCCGAATCTCTGTGTGTGGCCTTGACCAGTGGAGCGTTCAGGACTAAGTGTTCCATCCCGGTTTTGGAGCCGAAGCTTCGGTGAAATGACTTGTTCAAGATCGTCCAGCGAATAGGGACGTTGAACCCACGCTGCAGAACTGCAAAGCCTGCTAGTGCCTTCCCTCTGCACCACGCAGTCCTGCCTTCGCCGTACTTTCCTTGCTCCCCTTGGAAAAGAACTTGATGGTAGCCCGTGTTCATTTGCAGCTAGAGCCCGAAGGATGTTAAAGTTGCAGGGTAATCTTTTGGTAGTCTTTTGTGAGAAGAAAGGAGGGAAAAGTCTGATTGTTGGGTGCCCTTTTTTTGTTTTGTTTTGTTTTTGGTCAGTGCTGGGCTTGAATTTAGAGCCTGAGCATGGTCCTTTAGTTCTCCCTCTCCTTCACCACCCCTCCCTCCCCCCCAGGCTGGTTCTCAAAACTTGAGCCGCAAATTTACTTTCAGTTTTTCATGGTTGTTTGGAGATAAGAGTCGTGATCGTTCCCACCTGAGCTGGGTACTGAGGAGTGTTTATCAGCCTGTTGGTTCTTACCTGTGAGGGATTGTGGAAGTATACCAGCAGAGCGCTTCCTTTCAGTTGACACAGCAACTTGCCGGCAAAGGCAAGGTTGGGAGAATTCAAAGATAAACTGCATACTCACAACCAGGACCTGACATATGGGACAAATTCAATAAATGTTACTTTAATACTATGTTATAATAAGTTAGGTTATTTTATCACTGGATATTTGTAATATGCCCTTGCTAAACTGATTTTTCCTGAAAGACCCATTTTTTTTCCCCTGAATCTACACAGGAGATTCACCACACTCTAAAAAAGAAAAGTTTATCCAGTTATTATCTGACTTAGGGAATTATTCTCTAAGCTAAAAACAACTATATGAAAAAGTCACTGCAGCCGGGCACCGGTGGCTCACATCTGTAATCCCAGCTACTCAGGAGGCTGAGATCTGAGGATCACAGTTCAAAGCCAGCCTGGGCCAGAAAGTCCGTGACCACTCAGAAAACTGGAAGTGGTGCTGTGGCTCAGGTGGTAGAGCTTTAGCCTTGAGCTGAAGAGCTGAGAGACAGTGCCCAGGCCGAGTTTAAGCCCTATGGCTGACAAAAAGAAAAAGAAAGAAAAAGTCACTGCAGGGGCTGGGAAGGTGGCTCAGTGGTAGAGCGCTTGCCTTGCATGCCTGAGGTCCTGGGTTCGATTCCTCAGCACCACATAATCAAAAAGAAAAAAGCTGGAAGTGACGCTGTGGCTCAAGTGGTAGAGCGCTAGCCTTGAGCTGAAGAGCTTAGGGACATTGCCCAGGCCCAGAGTTCAGGCCCCACTACCGGCCCCCCCCCCCCCCCCAAAAAAAAAAGTCACTGCAGGAGAAGTAAAGATTAGTTAACCTTTTGTATTATTAGCATTTATTTATCTATTATGTGGTTGGTGTGTGTGTGTGTGTGTGTGTGTGTGTGTGTGTGTGTGTGTGTACTGGAGTTTGAACTCAGGGTTCTGTCCTTTAGCTTTTTTGCTCTAATCTGGCACTCAACCACTTGAAGCACTACTCCACTTTCTGCTTTTGGTGTTTAATTGGAGTAAGACTTTCAAAGAGTCTCCTACCTGGGCTAGCTTCTAACTGCAATCCTCAGATTTTAGCCTCCTGAGTAGGATTAATAGATGTGAGCCACTGGCCCTTGGCTTATATGAGTGTTTTTGTTTTTTTATTTAGGTGCATTGAGTCTCACTATAAAAATCAAGGCTGGCTTTGAATTCTGAAGCTGCTTTTGCCTTCTGTGAGTTGAGATTACAAGGGTGCAAACTTTCCCCACACCCAGCACATAGTTTTTTCTATGTGTTTGGCATTCAAATTTGTGTTGGATGTAGTTCCTGCATTCATTTAATTTAGCCTTAATGTGGGAAGAAAATAAACATTCAGAAATAATCTTCATAAAGTATAAAGTGAAAAATGCCAGGAGAAAGATCAAAAGAGATGTATAGAAGGAAGGAAGGAAGAAAAGAAGAAAGAGGGACATTTCTTGGCTTAGTGTACAATATGATCTCATTTCTGCCTTCAGGAAAGATACTTTTTTTGTACATTGATTGAAAGAGTAAATTACTGAATCAATGTATATTAGATAGGATTTCTTGGCTTCCAGTAAGGGAAACTCATTTGGGTTCAAGTTTTTTTTTTTTATTTTGTTTTTGCCAGTCCTGAGGCTTGAACTCAGGCCCTAGGTTTCTTTTGCTCAAGGCTAGCACTCTACTGCTTTAGCCACAGTGCCTTTTTCTGTTTATGTGGTACTGGAATGGAACCCAGGTCTTCATGCATGCTAGACAAGCACTCTACCACTAAGCCGCATTCCCAGCCTCTGGGTTCAAGTTTTATTGGAAAGATTTTGTAAGAAATGTTTGCTTTAATTTAGGTAGGGTGTAGAGGTTTGACTATTGTGATTGATGGCACCACTGATACAACAGGAAATAGAGTGTCAGTATGCCAAAGGAATGAAGACTGAAGAAAAAAGTGATGATGGCAGATAAGACCAATAGTTATTAAAATATGTAGTGCAGCCCCTCTGAGTACCTCCTGGCTACTAAGGAGGCTGAGATCTGAGGATCATGGTTTAAAGCCAGCCCAGGCAGTAAAGTCCATGAGACTCTTATCTCCAGTGGTGATGTAGCTCAAGTGGTAGAGCACTAGCCTTGAGCTGAAGAGCTGAAGGCCCAGAGTTCAAGCCCCACTACCGACCAAAAAAAAAAAAAAAAACAGGCAGGAGACTCTTATCTCCAATAAACCACTCAGAAAACTGGAAGTGGTACTGTGGCTCAAGTGGTAGAGTGCTGCCTTGAGCTGAAGAGCTGAGGGACAATGCCCAGGCCCAAAGTTCAAGCCCCAGGACTGACAAGAAAAAGAAAAGAAAAAAGAAATATATAGTGCTTTCTGGGTGCAGTAGTGTATATCTGAAACCCTAGGACTCAGGAGGCAGAAGCAGGAGGGTCTCAAGTATGAAGCCAACCTGAGCATAGACCCTGTCTCAAAAAACAAGAAGAGGGGGAAAAAAAAACCCAAAAGGAAATATATAAATAAATGAAAGGGAAATATTTATAGAGGACCAACTATGGCACAGCCATCATGCTACATTGTATATAATATGTGATTGTGACGTTTGATTCTCACAACAAATAGGGGAAATAGATCCTATTATACCCATTTTCCAGAGCAGAAATGGATTCATAGAGGCAAACCAATTTGCTTAGCATTACAAAGTGATGCTGGATCTAGGCTGAATACATTTCTTATCTTCCTGTCTCTGAATATTTTTCTGATCCATTTGCCACTTCTTTCTGTTCATAGGAGGTTATCAAGCCTTTGTATATGTGTTGACCTCTGAAATCTTGAAGTTCTGAATTGAGGACAGTCAAAGCAGCAATCTTCAACAGAGAATGGACTGTTTGGGTTCCTTTAGCAGTAAGTACAGTGAGAACATGTCCCCAGGTTGGATGCTAATAATTCTTTTTTCTTCCTTTCCCCTCCTCTTTTCACTCTTTCCCTTTGTCCTGTTTCCTCCCTTCTCCTCTCTGTTTCTTTAATCTCACTGTACAGTCCAGGCTGCCCATGAACCTGAAATCCTCCTGCCTCTGTCTCTGGAGTGCTAGGACTACAGGTGTGTACCATCCATATTCAGCTCTTTTCCTGTCATTTCTAATAGGGAAGATAGCATACTACATATCCTTTGTACTTTGTCTCTCCCTCTCCCACTTAATAGGATCTGCTATAAAGACTATATTAGTTTATAGAGATTATCAACTTTTTTCCTCTGGAGAGTTTACCCAGGATCTCACACATGCAATGTTATTCTACTGTGCTACATTTTGAGCCTTTTTTTTTGTGCCAGTCCTGGAGTTTTAACTCAGGACTTGGGCACTGTCCCTGAGTTTTTTTTTGCTCAGGGCTAGCCACTTGAACTACTGCTCCCCTTCTTGCTTTTTGTGGTTAATTGGAGGTAAGAATCTCATGGACTTCCCTGCCCAGGCTGGCTTTGATCCTCAATTCTCGGATGTGTAGTTAGGATCACTGGTGTGAGCCACTACCACCTGGCTTTTTTTTTTTTAATGTATGATATTCCATGTGTGAATGGACCATTAACTTATTAAGATAAACTCCATGCTTAGACATATAAGAGTTTTGTAATTATAAATAATGTTCTAGGGGCTGGGAAGGTGGCTCAGTGGTAGAGGGCTTGCCTTGCATGCCAGAGGCCCTGGGTTCGATTCCTTAGCACCACATAAGCAAAAAGAAAAAAGCCAGAGGTGGCGCTGTGGCTCAAGTGGTAGAGCGCTAGCCTTGAGCTGAATTGCTGAGGGACAGCGCCCAGGCCCAGAGTTCAGGCCCCACGACCGGACCCAAAAAAAAAAAAAAAAAAAAAACCAAAAAAAAACCAAATAATGTTCTAATATGTGTCCTTACAAATAATGTATTTTTGTGTTAATGGGGATACTTATGTGCTGTAACTCCGGAAAAAGGATTATTTGTTCAAAAGATAAAATGATTCATAGTCTCATTTACATAATGTTAAATTCTAATCTAAAAGAAGTTTACTAATTCACCTTCCCACCAACAATATATGAATGTCTCTTTCCTTAGCACCCTGCTCTGAAAGTATATTGCCAAGTTCTGCAATTTTTTCCAGTATGCTGCTGAAAAAATATCTCAGTGTAGTTTTAATTTTTGTCTGAACAATGTTTCATTATGTTTGAGGCTATTTCTCTGTGTGTCTTTTCCCCTAATTATCTTTTTATTATTGTTTAAGATAGGGTCTCATGATGTATGCTAAGGCTGACCTTAAGAGTTTTTGTCAGCCTCCCTTAGTTCCACAGTTAGAAATATGTACCTATCACCCCATCTGCTTTCCCTCCCTCCCTTTTTTGAGATAGGTTCTTGCTGTGTTTCTGGGTGCCTCAGCATCTTGAGTGGCCTCATTCTCCTAAGTAGCTGTCACTACAAACATGTTTTCTTCCTTTCCCTTTGGTGTTGGAGATCATGTCTGGAGCTTGACACATGCTAGGCTAGTTCATTATATATTAGGAGCTTCATTCAGCCCTTTTCTGTCAGTGTTTCCAGTTAACTTTCTTCCAGGTTACTTGCTTTTTATGTTTGTTTGTAGTGTTTTTGCCAAAGAAGTTTTTAAAAATAATATAGTCATTTATTAATCTTCTATTGTCTATGAATTTATTTATTTTTTTGCTGTGTCGGTTGTGGTGTTTGGACTCTGGGCCTGGGCGCTGTCCCTCAGCTCTTCATCTCAAGGCTAGCGCTCTACCACTTGAGTCACAGTGCCACTTCTGGCTTTTTCTGCTTATGTGGTGCTGAGTAATCAAACCCAGGGCCTCATGCATGCAAGGCAAGCACTCTACCACTGAGCCACCTTCCCAGCCCTTGTCTATGAATTTTGAATGATGATGGAAAAGCTTTTCTAGAATGTACAAAACTCTAGAAAACCTTTTTGGGGGCAGACAATACTGAAGTTTGAACTCTGGGCCTTGAAATTGCTAGACAAGTGCTCTTCCATCTAAGCTATACCTCCAATCCTTTTAGATTCTTTTTCAGATTGAATCTTATGCTTTTTCCCAGAGCTGGTCCCAGATTGCTATCTCCTACCACTGTTTCTATGAGCAGCTGGGATTAGAGGTATATACTACTACACCTTACTTGTTTGGTTTCTTTCTGGAGATACTTGTGATTGAATTTAGGGCCTTACACTTGTTAAGTAAGTGCACTTAAACCATACCTCAAGTCCCCAGGCTCTTTTTCTTTTCTTTTTTTAGTTTTTAGAAAGAACTTTAGTATAACCAGGATAAAAGAAGGAGGAATAGAAAAAAGACACCTTAGCTTGATTTCTTTTTCTTTTTTTTTTCTTTTTTGTCGGTCATGGGGCTTGATCTCTGGGCTTGGGCACTGTCCCTCCACTCTTCAGCTCCCGGCGAGCACTGTACTGCTTGAGCCACAGTGCCACTTCATTTTCTGGTGTTTTATCATAGATAAGAGTTTCACATGGGCTGGGAAGGTGGCTCAGTGGTAGAGTGCTTGCCTTGCATGCATGAGGCCCTGGGTTCGATTCCTCAGCACCACATAAGCAGAAAAAATAAAAAAGCCGGAAGTGGCGCTGTGGCTCAAGTGGTACAGTGCTAGCCTTGAGCTGAAGTGCTGAGGGACAGCGCCCAGGCCCAGAGTTCAGGCCCCACAACCGGACCATCCCCAACACAACCTCCCCCCCAAAAAAAGAGTTTCACAGACTTTCTTGCTCGGGCTGGCTTTGAACTGTGATCCTGAGATCTGAGCCTCCTGAGTAGCTAGGATTACAGGTGTGAGCCACTGGGCGCCCAGCCTCAGCTTGATTTTTGAGATATCAGCATATTGGTTTTTGCTCCTGGCTGGCCTCAAACTTATATCCTCCATCTCTTAGTAGCTAAGATTACAGTTTTGGGCCATTACAACCAGCTGGAATACTTTTTTTTTTTTTAACAGAGCCAAGGACTGAACTCAGGGCCTGTACTTGCCAGGCAAGTGCTCTTCCAATGAGCTAAATCCCCAACCCCTCTGGAATATCTTTTTTTTTAAATTAATTTACTTTATTGTTATAAATGTGATGTATAGAGAGATTACAATTATACAAGTCAGGTAAAGAATACATTTTCTTTTGTACAGTATCTTCTGTTCCCTCTCTCCCAGCCCTTCTCTCCCATTTCCACCCACCAGTTGTATAGTTATTTCCATTATCATTCGCATCTTAGAAGTACGAATGGGGAATAATCAAGGTATATTGGTGACTAAGGAATACCATAAGCCTGAATAACTCCTGGTAAAGTCTTGAAGAAAACAAAGCACAGTATTCTTTAAAATTATGTGCCGCTAATTTTATTGCTGCATACTAGAAGAGACAGTTTCCAATAACACTCAAAAAATGTTTTGCTTTGAGGCTGGATAAGTGTAGAGTTCTTGTCTGACAGGTGCAAGGTTCGATCCTTACCACTGTCCCCCCACCAATAAAAAATATATATAATGTATTTTGCTTTCAATGTAATACGGAATTAATCTCTATCTACTTTGTAGAAAAACTCTGGAATGACCTGGAAATGTGATTTAGTGGTCAAGTGCTTGCCTAGCATGCATGAAGCCCTGCCTGGGTTTCATTCTCAGGACCACATAAACGGAAAAAGCTGGAAGTGGCAGGACTGGCAAAAAAAAAAAAAAAGGAAAATCTCTGGAATACTTGTTTTTTTGTGTACCCACCAGTCTTGGGACTTGAACTCAGGGCCTGAGCACTGGCTCTGAGCTCTTTTGCTTGAGCCACAGCTTCACCTCTGTTGTTTTGGAGATGAGAGTCTTAAAGTTTCATGCCCAAGCTGGCCTTGAACCACAATCAGATCTCAACTTCCTGAGCAGATAAGATTACAAGTGTGAGGGCTGGGAATTTGGCTTAGTGGTAGAGCACTTGCCTTGCATGCATGAAGCCCTCAGTTCGATTCCTCAGAACCACATAAGGAAAAAGAAAAAAGCCGGAAGTGGTGCTGTGGCTCAGGTGGTAGAGCGCTAGCCTTGAGCTGAAGAGCTGAGGGACAGTGCCCAGGCCCAGAGTTCAGGCCTCACGACTGGACCCCCCCCCCCAAAAAAAAAAAAAAAAAAAAAAAAGATTACAAGTGTGAGCTATTTATGTTCAGCTGGAATACTCTTTTTTTTTTTTTTTTTTCTGGTCATGGAGTTTGAACTGAGGGCCTGACCCTGAGACTCTGTGCTCAAGGCTAGCATTCTACCACTTGAGCCCCATATGGCTTGTGGCTTTTTCTGAGGAGGAAGAGTCTCGTGGACTTTTCTGCCCAAGCTGGCTTCAAACTGTGATCCTCGGATCTCAGCTTCCTGAGTAGCTAGGATTACAGGCGGGAGTCACTGGTACCCAGTTTTGAATACTCTTTTGAAGGATAGTTTAGCTGTTTATATCAAAAATCTCAAAACCAGAGGCATTATCTCATTTAAAAAAATGCAAAACCCTTCAACATTCATGTAGTTATGATGTTTTTCATCTACTTGCATTTTTGGAGAGACATTTGAAAGTAATGCAGGAAACAGCTTTTTGTTATATAGGAATGTTGTGTGGGGGCTGGGAAGGTGGTTCAGTGGTAGAGCACTTGCCTTGCATGCATGAGGCCCTGGGTTCTATCACTCAGCACCACATAAGCGGGAGAAAAAATAAAGCCGGAAGTGGCGCTGTGGCTCAAGTGGTAGAGTGCTAGCCTTGAGCTGAAGAGCTGAGGGACAGCGCCCAGGCTCAGAGTTCAGGCCATGACCGAACCCAAAGAAAAAACAAAAAAAGAATTGTTTGAACACAAGGATTTTTTTTTTTTTTTTTTTTTTTTAGGTGGAGGGCATGTATATGTGTGCTAGTACTGGGACTTGAACTCAGAGCCTTATCTCACTTGGCTTTTTCTGCTTAACTCTTGTGTTCTACCAGTTGAGTCTTAACCTACACTTCGGCTTTTTGCTGGTTAATTGATTTAAGAGTTTCATGGGCTTTTCTATCTAGGCTGGCTTTGAACCATGATCCCAAGATCTCAGCCTCCTAAGTAGCTAGGATTACAGGCCTGATCCATCTCAGCCCAAAAGGAGTACATTTCTTTTATCTATTCTATTTTCTTTTCTTTATTTATAAACAAATGATGGGGCTCGGAAGCTGTCTCAGTGGTAGAGTGCTTGCCTAGCATGCATGAGGCCCTGGGTTAAATTCCTCAGTACCACATAAGCAGAAAAAGCCAGAAGTGGTGCTGTGGCTCAAGTGTTAAGAGTGCTAGCCTTGAGCTGAAGAACTGAGGGCTGTTGCTCAAGCCCAGAGTTTAGGCCCATGATTGGCAAAAAAAAAAAAAAAAAGGAAAGGTTGGGCACTGGTGGTTCATGCCTATAATTCTAGCTACTTAGAAGGCTATTATCAAAGGAGAGAAATCCTGCCCCACATTAAACAAATTCCATCCCACCATTTACTACCCAAGGCTTTATTCTCCTAGACTCCTGTGGTTGATCATGGAAAACAATTTGGCTCTAGTGGCAGAATTTGGAGCAACCAGTGATATTCGGATATTCAAAGCTGAATTTTGATAACGTTAGAGGGAGTTAGAGTTGACTTCTTGTCTTAATAATTCACAACATACTAGTATCAGTGGGACTGGACAATTTTTTTTTTTTTTTTTTTTTACTTTTCTGGGTATTAGGCACAACTCAAATACAAAATTTAAATCTCATGACATATATTTAATTTGCTGAAGATATGGCTCAAATGGTAGAATGTCTGCCTAGCAAGACAGGCTCTGAGCTCAAAACCTAGGATTGCCAAATTTTTTTTAAATAGCATCTACCCCCTTAACTTAAAAAAAAAAGTATGTACTTGTTGCTTAGATTCAGCAATTGTTTTACATCTTGCCGGATTATCTTATATGTATGTTGTATTATTATGTGCTCATTTTCTCCAAGGAAAAACAAGTTGTGTTTTATGAAATTGGTTTAAAATAACTGTTTAGGGGCTGGGAAGGTGGCTCAATGGTAGAGCACTTGCCTTGCATGCCAGAGGCCCTGGGTTCGATTCCTCAGCACCACATAAGCAAAAAGAAAGAAGCCGGAAGTGGCGCTGTGGCTCAAGTGGTAGAGCGCTAGCCTTGAGCTGAAGAGCTGAGGGACAGCGCCCAGGCCCAGAGTTCAGGCCCCATGACCGGACCCCAAAAAAAAAACCAAACAAATAAAATATCTGTTTATAAATTTCTCTGCAGAGACCATGTCTGTCTAACTGCTTTTTGAAATAATGAGTACACTATAAGAAGGAACAAAGGAGCTGAGTCCTGGTGGCTCACGCCTGTAATCCTAGCTACTCAGAGGCTGAGATCTGAGGCTCTCAGTTCAAAGCCAGCTGGGGCAGGAAACTCTGTGAGACGCTTATTTCCAATAAACCATCAGAAAACTGGAAGTAATGCTGTGGCTCAAGTGGTAGAGCTCCTGCCTTGAGTTGAAGAGCTGAGGGACTGTGCCCAGGCCCAGAGTTCAAGCCCCATGAGCAAAAAAAACCCCCAAAAACAAGGAACAAAGCTGCACTGAAGTAAAAAAGGAGCATAATTTTTGTTTTGCTTATGTGGAATGAGTTCAAGTTGTTTCCATCAACATATCTCACTGACTTATCTGTAGTGATTTGCAGATTTTCTCCTTCCATTTATGATAACCATAAGGTGTTTTAAAGTTAATGTATTTGTTGTTGTTTTTTGTTCTAGATGATCCCTCTGATAAGCCACCCTGCAGAGGCTGCTCCTCCTACCTCATGGAGCCTTATATTAAGTGTGCTGAATGTGGGCCACCTCCATTTTTCCTCTGTTTGCAGGTAATTCATTGAGAAGAGGCTCATCTTTTCTAGTTTTAGTAATACAGAGATTGCTATAGATTGCTTCAGAGGACCCTACTTTATTAAATCTATTTCTTCTAGATAACTTTCCTTACACACTTTAATACTGGAAAGTTGTAGATTAGAGTAGCTGTGGCAAACTCTTGACTGTTTCACAAGGCATCTCAATCTAATGTATGACATTTTTTTTCAAGTAGATTTGAAGTATTGGCATTACAAGAATCAGAAATGGAAGAGTATTTCCTTTGATGGGATTGTTTATTGTCATGTTGGAGTAATCTCTGTACAGATGACAAAACAAGAGAACAGACTATTTTGTGGGCTTTAATAGTAGTAACACTAATTATGAGTACTTACTCTGTACCAGTCACTATTTTGTATATTCTACATGAATTAACCCTTAAGGTAGCACCATAATCCTTTGAAATGAATAAATAAGTATCCCCATTTTATAGATGAAACCCAAGGAAAGAAGTACTTTGCTCAAGGTCACATAGCAAATGTCATATTTGATCAGATCTAAGACACTATCTTTATAAGAAACATCCCAATCTCAAAAATGTTAAAATGTAAAAGTGACTGATGACAGTTGTGGTATTACAACTGTTGTAATTCGTTGTAAGAGGAATCCTGACTTTAGGAACCAGCATGGTGAGATGTATAATCCCAGCACTCAGGAGGCTGAGGCAGGAGGATCAAGAATTCAAGACAGGCCAGCCCAGGCAAAGTAGCAAGACCCTATCCTATTTTAAAAAAACAAACCAAAAGCTAGTTAAAAAAATGACACCACAATTTACAGGAGTAGAACATCCTCAAACACCTTTTTTTTTGGTGGTCGGTCATGGGGCTTGAACTCTGGGCCTGGGCACTGTCCTTCAGCTCGTCAGCTCAAGGCAAGCACTCTGCCACTTAAGCCCCAGCGCCACTTCCAGTTTTCTGGTGGTTAATTGGAGATAAGAGTCTCACGGACTTTTCCTGCCCAGGTTGGCTTTAAACCATGATCCTCAGATCTCAGCTTCCTATGTAGCTAGGATTACAGGTGTGAGCCACTGGTGCCCGGCTAAGAAAGCATTTTTAAAGGAACCTGTAGTAACTTAACTTTTCTTTCCTTACAGTGTTTTACTCGAGGATTTGAATACAAGAAACATCAAAGTGATCATACTTACGAAATAATGGTAATAATAAAGTTGTTGGGAATTTCAGTTCATTTTTTTAAAAGTACTAAGAAGGGGTATTTGTTTTATCTCCATCTCTCTTTTTTTTTCCTCTTCTATATTTGTTAATCATTACTCAGTAGATTTTGTAAGGGTTCTATGCAAACTGCAAGGCATTTAAGTATAAGAATAGTTATTTTTGTGGTATTAGAGATCCAACCTACAGTCTTGTATATTCTAGGCAAGCACTCTAAAAGTAGCTTTGTAAACTCACATTTTGGCTTCAAATTTAGAAGATATTTAATGGAAGTACTGTTCAGGATACTCTACTTGATTATAAGAGGTTTGCTTTTTAAGTTTGTCAGTAAACATATATAGCCAGTGTGTTGTCACTGTGTTCTATAACCATTTTCATGTCATTAATGTGAGTACTGAAGTACTTCATGTCTGGAACTCAGTCTTCATGTATTGGGGAGACTAATTACTCTCTGAGAGTTAAGTTAAAAAATTAACATAGAAGCCAGGCGCCGGTGGCTTATACTTGTAATCCTAGCTACTCAGGAGGCTGAGATCTGAGGGTCATGGTTCAAAGCCAGCCCAGGCAGGAAAGTCTGTGAGACTTATGTCCAGTAAACCACTAGAAAACTGGAAGTGACATTGTGGTTCAAGTGGTAGAGCGCTCACCTTGAGCTGAAAGCTGAGGGACAGTGCCCAAGGCCAGAATTCAAGCCCCACAACTGGCAAAAAACAAAACAAATTAACATAGGAGCCAGGCATTGGTGGCTCATGCCTGTAATTCACGCCTATAACTCTGGAGGCTGAGATCTGAAGATCGTGGTTCAAAGCCAGCCCAGGGAGGAAAGTCTGTGAGACTCTTATCTCCAATAAGCTACTCAGCAAAAGCTGGAAGTGGTGCTGTGGCTTAAGTGGTAAAGTATTAGTCTTAAGCAAAAAAGGAGCTCAGGGATAGTGCTGAGGCCCAGAGTTCAATCCCCAGGACCGGCAAAGAAAAAAAATTGACTGAGGCTGGGGATATAGTTCATTTGTAGATCACTTGCTTAGCACGCTCAGGGCAATGGGTCTGATTCCCTAGCACCACAAAAAGAAGGGTTTCTTTGTTTTCAGAGTACATTAAACATGTAACTAAAGCTCTTAGTTTACCAATAGTTTTGACTCTGTTAATGTTCACTGATTGACAATAATAATTTCTTATTGTGGATTAATCTTTTGGCATTTCATTAGTTTTCATGTGTATGTATGTGTATGTGTGTTTATATGTGTATCGGTTGGTTCTAGGGTTTGACCTCATCGTCCGGTCATTGTCCCTGAGTTTTTTTGCTTAAGGCCAGCACTCCATCACTCTAGCCAGTCTACAGCTTCCCTTCGAGCTTTGTTGGTGCTTAAATTGGAGATAAGAGTGTCATGGATCCTGGTCTGGCTTCAAACTGTGATCCTCAGATCTCAAGCATGAGCCAACTGAGCACCTTGGTTCCCTTAGCTTTTTCACTCAAGTCTGGCACTCTACCATTTGAGCCATAGCTTCACTTCTGGCTTTTTGTAGTTAATTGGAGATGAGAGTCTTGCAGACATACCTACCTAGATTGGCTTCGAATCTGGATCCACAGATCTTAGCCTCCTGAGCAGCTAGGATTACAGGTGTGAGCAACTGATGCCAGCTTTTATTAGTTTTTTTGTTTGTTTATTTTGTTTTGTTTTGTTTTTGTCAGTTGTGGAGCTTGAACTCTGGGCCTGGATGCTGTCCCTCAGCTCTTCAGCGCAAGGCTAGTACTCTATCACTTGAGCCATAGTGCCACTTCTGATTTTCTGAGCGGTTTATTGGAGAGAGTCTCATGGATTTTTCCTACCCGGGCTGGCTTTGAACTGTGATTCTCCTTAGTAGCGAGGATTACAGGCGTGAGCCACTGGTGCCTGACTTTTACTAGTTTTTCTGTGGCTACTATAACATATTGCCAAAAATTAAGTGATTTAAGACAACACAAATTATCTCAGTATTGTAGGTCAGAAGACTTAGACTCACCAGATTGCTATAGGTTGGAGAAGACTAAAATCAAGTTGTTAAGCCAGTCTGAAGGCTTTTTGGAGTTGTTGGTAGAATTTGCTGCTTTGAGATTGTAGGATTGATGCCACTATTTCTTTTGTTTTTTTTTGGTTGGTCACGGGGCCTGAACTCTGGGCCTGGGAGCTGTCCCTCAGCTCTTTAGCTCAAGGCTAGCGCTCTACCACTTGAGCCATAGCACCACCTCTGGCTTTTTCTGCTTATGTGGTGCTGAAGAACCGAACCAAGGGCCTCATGCATGCAAGACAAGCATTCTACCACTTAGCCACCTTCCCAGATGGCACTGTTTCTTTACTGACTGGGAATTTTTTTCAGCCAAGGGCCATAAGAAATTCAATATAGGCAGATGGCCAAAGGCAGCTGATGAGAAACATATGTCCCATCATGTGCCAAATGATTTTGTGGGATTTATGCAGTCCTCAGGCCAGATGTCCCCCACCACTGTTAGAGGCTGCTGGAATTTCCTGGTTTCTGGCCACCTTTTGTCATTCCTAAAGCCAGCTGAGTGTTCTTGAGGGTTGAGGAAATGCTTGCAGCTTCTCTGACTTCCTGCTTCATCTTTCCTGTGCAGAATCTCTGAATCTTAATGTGATTACACTGGACTGACCTGAATAAACCAGACTAATTTCCCTGTTTTAAGATCAGCTTATTTGTAACCTTAATTCCATCTGCGAAGTATCTTCATAGCAATACCTAGTTTTTGTATGACTTAATAGGAATCTTGAGAAGAGGAGGAAGGGATATATTTAGATTTTTTCCCCCTACTACAGCATTCACAATGTATTACTTCAGTTTCTTAATATTTGGAGTTATCCAAGTTGGGTAGTAGAAGGCCAGCCTAGGAAGAAAAGACTCCATCTCCAGAATAACCAGCAAAAAAAGCCAGACTGGAAGTGTGGCTCAAGTAATAACAGTAGCAAAAGCAAGCATACCTAGCATGTGTGAGGCCCTGAGTTCAAACCCTAGTATCACCACACACACACACACACACACCACCATACACACACACAGAAAATTAGCCCGGGGGGGGGGGGGGTGCCGGTGGTTGATGTCTGTAACCCTATCTGCTCAGGAGGCTGAGATCTAAGGATCATGGTTTAAAGCCAGCCCCCGCCTCTGCAGGCAAGTCTGTGAGACTCCTATCTCCAATAAACTACTCAGAAAACCAGAAGTGGCGCTGTGGCTCAAGTGGTAGAGCACTCGCCCTGAGCTGAAGAGCTGAAGGACAGTGCCCAGGCCCAGAGTTCAAGCCCTATGACTGACAAAAAAAATTCAACATCCCTGAGTCTGATTTTTTTGCCAAGTCCTATTAAAATGAGTTTCCGAGACTATAATACTGCTTCAGATTCTAGACTACAATGCATTAATCAAAGCATAGTTACTTAGTAAAAGTTCTTGGGAGCCAACTGGCAAGTCCTATCTATTTCAAAACATCTTCAGTCTCTTATTCTATTCACTAATTATAAAACTTGGACTTTAAAAAAAATCCTGGGGCTGGGAAGGCGGCTCAGTGATAGAGCCTTGCCTTGCATGCATGAGGCCCTGGGTTCGACTCCTCAGCACCATGTAAGCAGAAAAAGCCGGAAGTGTCGCTATGGCTCAAGTGGTAGAATGCTAGCCTTGAGCTGAAGAGCTGAGGGAGGGACAGTACCCAGGCCCAGTAGGCCCCATGACTGACCAAAAAAAAAAAAAAATTGTTTTTTGTTAATTGTACAATGAACAAGGGGTTGGACGTATGTGGTCCACATAGTTTTTTTGTTGTTGTTGCTGTTTTTTGGCTTCTTAGGAGGCTGAGCTCTGAGGATCACGGTTCAAAGCTAGCCCGGGCAGGAAAGTCCATGAGACTCTTATCTCCAATAAACCACTCAGAAAACTGGAAGTGGCAGTGTGGTTCAAGTGGTAGGGTGCTTGCCTTGAGTTGAAGAGCTGAGAGGTAACACCCAGGCCCAGAGTTCAAGCCCCATGACCGGGAAAAAAAAAAACCAGGGCTGGGAAGGTGGCTCAGTGGTAGAGCACTTGCTTTGCATACGTGATGCCCTGGGTTTGATTCCTCAGCACCACATAAGCAAAAAGAAAAAAAGCCAGAAGTGGCGCTGTGGCTCAAGTGGTAGAGCGCTAGCCTTGAGCTGAAGAGCTGAGGGACAGCGCCCAGGCCCAGAGTTCAGTTCAGGCCCCACAACCGGACCCAAAAAAAAAAGAGTTCCATGAGCCGGCGGCCTTGGTTCACGCCTGTAATCCTAGCTTCTCAGAAAGCTGAGATCTGAGGACTGTGGTTCAAAGCCAGACTGGGCATGAATGTCCGTTCAGGAGACTCTTATCTCTAATTAGTCACCGGAAAACCAGAAGTGGCACTGTGGCTCAAGTGGTAGAGTGCTCACCTTGAGCTGAAGAGCTCAGGGACAGCGCTCAGGCCCAGAGTTCAAGTCTTACGACAAAAAATAAACAAATAAAAAATAAGAGTCTCATGGACTTCCCAGGCTAGTTTCAAACCAAGAAAGTTAAACCTTGGCCTTTAAGTACCTAGAAATACAGTGCCTGACTTATTTGACTATTTTAAGTGAATACAATTGGGGATTGAGGATGTACTTCAGGCATAGATAGCATAGATGAGGCACCGTTCCCTAGCAACGGGAAATTAACAAAGTAGCTGGGAGCTGGTGGCTCATGATTGAAATTGTAGCTACTCAAAAGGTTGAGATTTGAGAATTGTGGTTCAAACCCAGCCTGGGCAGGAAAGTTGTGAGACTTTTTTTTTTTTGTCGGTCGTGGGGCTTGAACTCTGGGCCTGGGCGCTGTCCCTCAGCTCTTCAGCTCAAGGCAAGCGCGCTACCACTTGAGCTACAGTGCCACTTCCGGTTTTCTGGTGGTTTATTGGAGATGGAACTCTTATCTCTAGTTAACCACCAAAAGGCTGGAAGTGGAGCTATGGCTCTAATCATAAAGC